CCCCTGAAATAAATTCCAGTGAATATGCCATTTCCCTCATACTCTATTGAGACACAGCGCAGTGAAAATTGGATTCACATGTAATGCTTGAAAACATGTCAGCAAAAATAAATTAAGTGAAATTCTACGTGACTTCATAATAGTTGGAAATGAACACATTACACCCGACCCTACCACTCCATATACAATGTAAACTACACCCCAAAACATCCTTTCACCCACAGTTCTATTTGACGTCAGGAGAAATTGAAATAAACAAATTAATTATAATTTCAGCCTCTAGTTGACCACTGATTAAATAAACTACCTCGTCTTTATGTCAACTTGCAGTTATTCGTTGCCTACATCAGTGACATCAAAATATATGTTTCAATCCTAGGAATTTCACTCGCTGTTAATTGCATGGGAGTGCCAGTCTTTAATGAATTTCTATTGTCATGTCAATTTCTTGCGATTACTCGGAACATTAAGCTGTAACCACATACCGCCTAGGTGCTGTAATTAAATCCTGGTGTAAGCACCATATGAACTATGAACAATGCATGTGAAGCCAGCTGTGGGGTATATTCAATCCTATAGATTTCTCATTGTTTGGTAACTATTTGCTGCAAATGCAACAAAAATCAATATAAAAAATATTACCCACACAGTATTTTACAGGTTACTTGTATTGATTATTAATGCCAATAAAATACTGTAAAGACAAGTCATTGAAAATGACACAGTCCCCGTTAAGTTCTCTTTGTGCTCGTCATATTAAAGCGGAGGGGTGTGTCCTTGAAACTTGAGTTCCAAGTGGTGTATACAACAGATTGTTTATTTACATCAAAACACGTGTTTCGTGTCATAGTAATATGACCAAAATAAAAACAGCCATTATTCGGCCATCTTTGATCTGATTATGAAACACACTGATATGTATGATGTATGTGCCAAATACGAATGAAAATGGTACATAAATTGTGAAAATATAGTAGTAAGGCCAAAAAGTCAGATGGCTGTCAATCGGCCATCCTTGACCAGATTTTGAAACAAATTGTCATGGACATGCATCCTAACATGTATAAAGTACATGTATGTGCCAAATTTGAATGAAAACTGACAGAGCACGTCCAAGATACCGCATAAAAAAACAAAAACAAGATGCCTGCCAGTCGACCATCTTTGATCCAATTGCGAAATAAATCGTCATGGACATGTATCCTAACATGTATAATCTATGTACCAAGTTTGAATGACAACTGACAAAGCATGTCCAAAATACAACATTTTCAAAAAACAAGATGGCTGCCAGTCGGCCGTTTTGAATCGAATCGCTAAACCACTGCATGTGCAGATGTCCCACATAAAGTACTAGGCACATGCAAAGAATGAACGTAATCAGTCCAAGGGATTCTGAGATATGACTCCGGACGGACGCACGGACACATTATAAGTCCCCGTTTTTGGACTTCGTCCGAACGGGGACTAAAAAACAACTTGTATCAATTGCATAGCCGTAGCACATCACAGTACATTCTATTTTGCTAAGATGTACACCACTGTATAATGTATTTCTACGGGCTTTGCGGAACGCCGATTGAACAACCGGTGAAAACAGCTAAAGTCGAGATTAAGGCATAAACTCAACTATGAGACAAATCCTGAACAACCAATTTTATATAGAGAGTCTCAACAACTATCCAAAAGTACTTTTTTTTGTGAGTTTTTCACTGTTGTTTGTACCGGTTGTGGTTGCCAGGCAGTGAAAATATCGGGATTTCACTCTCGAGAATAGAGTTTTATTATTCGATGGGTTGTCTTTTTTACTGGCAGTTGAATTCACTAACTTAAATCCAAGTAAATATTTAAATTTATCTGTGAACTCTATTTTTCCTTCATAATTCAAACCCAGTGAATCTCACTGCAGCTTCAATCCCAGCTTCCTGACACAGAATTCATTTTACAATTTGAAGATTCACAACCAAACAGTAAAGTGATGAAACTTTATTTTAGCTGGAATTAATTTTCGCTGAAAACACTTTTCAGGCATTTTGCATGGAATTTATTTTCACTGATTTTTGATGAGTTGAATGAAAAATATACGAAACAAGGTATTTACACTGAAACATTCCTTCAACGAAAAATAATTCCAAACAAAAATAAAGTATTTTACAGTATTTTAAACACTTAAAGGGGAACCGCTCAATCCCATGGATTGCACCAAAGAATCATGGGACACTATTGTTTATGTTGTTTACAATGTTAATCTATCTTTTGTAATTCATTGTTATTTTAATTCAGAAAGTAAATTTGTTGTGAGATTAGGCTTAACTGGAAGGTGCCCCTTTAACTGCATTTTGAAAACATTTGAAATTGCTCCCTGTAAATTGGCCTTGATTGAGAAAGAAGTTTCTCAGTAAAAATAGACAAATATTGGAGAACCATCCTTTTTTTTTTTTTATAATGTTTTTGTGCCAGGCAAAAGTTCTTTGTAAGTGAAAATTGCAAGTGCTAGTGCTGACATTTAGTGCATTTTTGCCACAGAAGTCATATTCATGTTTGGGACTACATGACAGGGCTGTGTGGCATGCATATCTCCATCAAATGGCAATTTTAATGCGCTATCCTGGCATCAATCAGGCTCCGTCGAACACAAGCACCTGTGGACCTTAACCAAGGTTCCCCCAAAGTTGCATTCGTTAGTGAATGAATCTCGGCAGTGGAATTGGCCTTTCCATTGAGTCTGTGGCACACTCACCCAGGGTAAGGGTCGACTCTTTTGATGTTCAGTCTAAGGTAGGATTTGAACTTGGACCTACCGATTATGAGTCTGATGCGACAACCAGAGAAACATCCTTTGCAGTTTCATACATTTTGTATTCATATACACCAAAATGCATTTTTTTTAAATTTCTTTTTGTGATGCCAAATTTGCTAGGAATGAGATCTAATACTAACCCTAACCCTACCCTCAAGTACTTCCAAATTCAATTACATATGCCCCAGTTAAAGACACTAATAGTTATCTAAAGGGGAATATATAATTTGGGGGCTTAGGATGAAGGTTAAGGAAGGGAAAGCATGGCATAAACCCATTTTTTTGTTGGCATGAGTGTTAATGGCATAAATGATATTTAGGTCCACGGGGAAACATAATGGCCCTAGCAAATTTAAAAAAATTTCAGAAATAGTCAAGAATAAGTTGTTTGCTGCTACTCAGATCTAGATATATTTCATCAATTTATCAAATTTTTCTGTAAAAATATTTTTGAGTAATGATAAATACACTCTTGACACAACAAAGACATTCCTTTCATCTTTACAAATATTTATAAATTCACTAAACCTTGGGGTTTCTATTGGCCAATTGAGTAATGTTTTCAAGTGACGTTGTGTGCTATGCTTGTTGTTGATTGGCTGGATTGATTCAACTGCCATTGAAATAAGTATCTATAAAGAAAAAGGAATGCATTTCTTGCATTGAAAAAAAATTGTATTATATTTAACCCTTTGAACACTTAAGTATTTTTTTGTAATATTTTTTTTTATCATTTTGGAACAAATAGTAATAATCTTCTATTAGCTGCAGTTCTAGATAACAATTTTGAAAAACAAAATCTGTGAAAAATATAAAACATTTTCTTTTGTGAAATGTGAAGACATTTTTCTTGGCATTCAAAAAATGTTTAAAATGTTAGTTTTTTTCTATCTATATCTTCCAAAAACGTGTTCGAATTTCATGTAAACAATGCATTTTACACGCTATATACGACGCTATGAATCTCATATCGAACAGGATGCGGCGCGACGACCACCGATTAACCTGTCCACTCCGGAGTCACTAGGTTATTGTGCCCCGCCCACTATTAGCATGCAATGTCTGAACGATTTTAGCTCGATACAGCATGCGATGGACCGTCGTTTGGTACTTCGTGCTTCGTTCTTACTTTAGCATGCTGATGGTTGCGATTTTAGCGTGTAACTTCATGCCTGTGCGTGTATTTATTTAGCTCGGTTGTAAGACAAATCTGGGTGCCTGCAAGTTGCCATTTTGTGACTGAAACGATTATGTCACACTCATAAGAGAAACACACGATTCCATAATAATGTGACCGATATACTAAACTCGTCACAATATTACAGATACAATCTTTCAAACACGATGTATTACCTGTGTAAGGTTTGATTAAAACTGACGACTTCTGGAACACTCTCCAAACGCCGGAAGCCAACATTGGACTGCACCGGAAGTAGGGGTGTCACTCCTATGTTGATAGGCTATTTTATTCAAACTATTTTTTCATGATAATCCTGAACGCCGACATTTTATACATTTTTTTGGTCTATTCATGCTCTTCAAGACATATAAAACAAATTATCAAAATTCCGAAATGTTTTACATATTTTTTTTCTATAAAAAAATTAATTATTAGCACAAAATTTGTTGATGCACTTATTCCGAATCAACTTGAAATTAATTTCTGTTTGTTTCCTCTTCAATTCGATTTGCGTCTTTTTCTAACAAACCTGTCTAAATTCTGACTTACGTTTATAGGTACCCGCCCGAAGAGTGAGCTGTCAACATTTTAGACAAATTTGCGCCTTTATTGTCGACTCGTGGTGTTTTAACTTGATAGTCATAGTGGTTTCAAAATTGAAATTTGGGAAATGAAAGATTTGTATAAAGTCAATTTTTGGCCATGCCTGTATCCTTTTAATAATAACGAAAATAAACCCTGACGCAATAGGAATTTCGCGCAAAAATGTACATGTAACAAAGTTTTAGAAATCAATCAGTAATATATGCATGTCATCAAGGAACTGTTACTTATAAACACGCAAACATTCACACTCTGACTTGTTGATATTTTATTTCAACATAATTCAAGCTAAGTCTAGTCCGAGGATAGTTCATGGTCTGAGGATAGTTCATGGTCTGAGGATAGTTCATGGTCCGAGGATAGTTCATGGTCTGAGGATAGTTCATGGTCTGAGGATAGTTCATGGTCTGAGGATAGTACATGGTCTGAGGATAGTACATGGTCTGAGGATAGTACATGGTCTGAGGATAGTTCATGGTCCGAGGATAGTTCATGGTCTGAGGATAGTTCATGGTCCGAGGATAGTTCATGGTCTGAGGATAGTTCATGGTCTGAGGATAGTTCATGGTCTGAGGATAGTACATGGTCTGAGGATAGTACATGGTCTGAGGATAGTACATGGTCTGAGGATAGTTCATGGTCCGAGGATAGTTCATGGTCTGAGGATAGTACATGGTCTGAGGATAGTACATGGTCTGAGGATAGTTCATGGTCCGAGGATAGTTCATGGTCTGAGGATAGTTCATGGTCTGAGGATAGTACATGGTCTGAGGATAGTACATGGTCTGAGGATAGTTCATGGTCTGAGGATAGTACATGGTCCGAGGATAGTTCATGGTCTGAGGATAGTTCATTGTCCGAGGACAAGTTCAGCGAACAGCAAAGTATAGTTACATATAGTTACGTAATCATCATTTCAATCATGTCATGACTTCTATGACTTACTTAGAAAACCAAATTATAAATAGAAACCGGACTAAGAATAACGAGGCAAAGATCAATAATTTCCAACAGGATAGAACAAGTTGTACATTTTTATCGAAACATCGCTTATTTTTCACAGAAGCACGAAATACACGTGGATAATGCTTCATTATTAGTTGGGGTATATTTTCTCTTAGCTCGCTGGTATATTCAAATTTAAAAATAGCTTGCATAGTTTTCTTCTGAAACGCACGCGTCCGTTTTTTGTTTTTGTTTTTTAAAAAAATATTTGTAACCTTAAAAATCTTAATTTAAACTAAAACATGACATTCATGGTCGATTTCATCGTGAAAATTTGTATCAGTTCTTTCATTCCAATGTCATGTTTTCTCTTGAGAAATTTAGCTGAATACTGGTGATCCTCGGTCTAGTGGTTTTACAGATCTTCTATCTACGTCATTGCGCACGTCATTGCTCACGTAGCTGACATTGTAAAAGCGAACTGACGCTTGGCACATTGTTTACAAAAATAAAATAACCTGTAATGGTGTAGTTAAATATTAATTTAAGTTGTGGGTAGAACGTTTAATGACACGTAATAACGTGAAAGCTTCTCCTCGTAATAAGTATATTGTCTTAACATGCCTGTGAAACACTTGCTGTCTTGATGTTCAAAATCACTTATTCGTATGTGAATATCATCATAGTATATAAATCTGAGCATAAAATGAATATTCTAATCAAAAAAATTGAGTTTTTAATGTTACTGTCTACTACCAGCTAGGTTCATTAGCCCTCATTTGCATACATGTATTTCCTTGGTGACGTAACCAGGAGAACACTGCTGCACAAATTAGACATGGTTGTGGGACTGTGACGCGGCTTTGGAGAACGTTCCTATTTCCAATTTATTGTGTTTTTATATTTAAATAATCTAAAATAAACTTCCACTATTTGTTTTAACAATTCTTAGACGACAGCCATGCCGGGGGCGATTGAAAATGTGTAATCTAAACCATGTATCCTTCGTCTTATCTGAACAGACTTCTACAATTACCACTACACTCTGCTGATCGTGAGGATCGAACACACTCCAAACTGACAGAAATGACATTGACATCATTTCAGAGAATATTTTCGATACAGACTTAATCTGTGTTTCGATCTGTGTTTTCCGTGACAAGTTATAAAATAATGATATTCACAATATTATAATCACACACAAAACCAACCAGCATGATTTCAAAGCATTTTTTTCATAATTTTGATATTTTATCTCAACTAAAAGTAGTAATTAAAAAAGGATGTAAATTAATCACTGATGTCTTCTACTTGAGTATAAACGACTTGTAAGATATATTTATCCTAAAATCTGTGATTCACAATTACTAAATAGCATCAGTGTTATTTGTCCTTTATGCAAAACCTGTCTAGTATATAATTTATCTGCATACACAACAAAATGGCGCATATCGATCTGTCGGTACTGACAATAATATCTACAATTTTAATAGATTGTTAAAAAATGAAGTGAAATAATTCAAGTTGAGTAATTCAAGAAAAAAAGGCGACAATAAAACAAATCAGTGAGCAACCGAAAACAAATGTTCTTATAAAGTATGAATAAGCAATACATGGATTTGTATAGACCGCTATTAAAGTGTCGATACCGTGGGCTTAGGCATGTATAGCTGGTGAGGTGGGAGCTTTATATTCCGAGAGAAAACTCCGCACACGAGATCCTTTACCTTACACTTTTTAGTAGGTGGACGCTACACTCAAACATTGCATAATACTCAAGCCGTAAATATTCATAATATAAATCAGAGCATAGGATAATATATTCCGAAATACTTGTGATGTAAAATCCCTAGAATATGACCCCCCTGGATGTTGCCATGTGCACGAATCAGACTGAGAAACGCCTCGTTTCAGTGTACAAAATCTCGGCAACCAAGCATTCTGAATCGTTGAGAAGAGCATGGACGTCCATGAGAAGAGCTAACTAATTTAAAATATTTATCTCCAAAAGTAGAACGCAGACGCCATAGGCCTATTCATGGTGGAATCTCTGTAAACCCTGTGAACTTGGTAATGAAAGAGAGAGAGAGAGAGAGAGAAGTGAGCAGTAATGATGTGACAATAACTCCGCTCTGTACCATTGTGCGTATACAACAACAAAACAACCATTCTTTCGTTGAAAGATTTCAAGTCATTTCCATCTGCAAATAAAACGTCAAAACCCCCGAGTTGGAGGTTTCAAGGGTACATCTACGCGTACATTCACGTGATTGCATTTCGCTTCTCGGATTTGCCCAATTTTCAGATTTTGACTTGAAGGCATTATAACCGAAATTCAATTCTCCGAACAACCTATTGGGCGTAATAACAGAGATCAAAATGAGATGACGGCTAAAATACCCCCCGAGTTACGTGTGACGCAATAATAAGCAGTGAGTCGTCCTTTATTTATCCCATAAATAGGACAAAATTAATTATCCTTATAGGCCAATCAGAACAACTGTTAATCATCATTCAAACCGGGACCGGGACTGCTATTGTTATGTAAAATCGCCAAGGTAGTTTATAAATCGCACCAGGCATGCGCAGTGTATATATGCAACTCGCATATTATTTTGGATCTGCGGTTCATTTTTCGCCGTGCATTAATGTCACGTGTCACGCGTATTTATTCAACAATGTAGACAACCAGCATTATATAATTCGCCGGTATTTTATGTTTTCGCTGAAGCCGTAGTATTGAATGAATTGACACATGCTTCTATCCGAATCTAGATCACCGCTTAGAAACGAAACGCGGCGACGATTTGCAATTTGTAGAGTTTGTGCCGCAGTTTAAAATATACTGGATGTATGAACGAATCGACATGGACGACGTAGCCGAGGACTCAATGGACTGCGGTGAAATGGGAAGAATCATTCTCGATTCACCTTCAGATACCCAAGAAAAAGAAAATGGCGTCGTCGTTGGTGACGATGATATGGAAAGAACAACCGACAACGCCAAGGATAAATACAACATGATATACGTCGCCATGGTATTAGCCGGGATTGGATTTCTACTGCCTTACAACAGTTTTATCACTGCCGTTGACTATTTTCACACTAAGTACCCGAATACGACGATTGTTTTCGATATGAGTTTAACATATATATTAGTGGCGTTTATAGCGGTTCTACTTAATAACATACTGGTGGAGACATTCACTCTACATACACGTATTTCATTTGGATATATTGTCTCGTTTCTGTCACTGACGTTTGTTGCTATATTTGAAGTCTGGCTTGACGTCTTCACGCAAGATGTAAGCTATATAATTATATTGGCGGCCGTTGCTGCAGTCGCTCTCGGGTGTACTGGTAAGTAAATCAAATATGATTGTTCAACTCTCTAGACGAATTAACTATTAATTGGGGGAATATAAACACCCATTAAGAAATACACTATTCACTACACTATTCATTAGATCGTAAAATGAATATACGATATATAAGCTCCACAGAATGTTGAAATGGAAAACGAACATCATTCTTTCACGATATGGCCTTTATATAGAGACCAGAAAAAAATAAGTGAAGAAGCTGAAGAAAAATTGTACAAATCTAACGGAAGAAAACAAATTTATAATAATAATGGGCATTAAAATATGTGAAGACGTCGAAAAAAAAATAAACGATTTTACAAATCTTATGGAAGAAAATAAATTTATATTAATAATGGACAATACAATTCGTGAAGATACGCGCGGATTTAGGCCGCATTAGGCCCCTCAGCTCGCAAAAAAAAATGACAAACCAATTGACAAATTCAGCCCAGCAAGCCCACGTCAATACGAGCGCCCCTTGCCGAATTTCTGGATCCGTCAGTGGAAGACGCCTATAAAATAAACGATTTTACAAATCTGACGAAAGAAAACAAATCTATAATAATAAAGGGCAATAAAATATGTGAAGACGTCGAAAAAATAAACAAATTTTACAAATCTGACGGAAGAAAACAAAGTTATAATAATAAATCAATAATGCACCCCCATAATGATTACGATTATACTCCTCACCGTCAAGATTTGAATTTTTATAGGTGTTCTATTTTTAGCTTGTTATTTGTAAGTTTTTATTTCTGTGATGATGTATTTCACCGTATTGTATCAGTCGTTATTTTCTTTTAAGATATTCAAGCTGTATTTCGTATTGTAGTTGTATTTACTTAGGCTTTATGTTCAATGTAACCATTTTAATCCCCCAGGGTACTTTCATTCCGGTCCTGAGAATGTAATAGAAGTTAATACAACAAATGGGAAATTTATAACACAGTGACATGAAAGGAATTTCCCAACAGAAAGCAATCGACCCCAAACGCAACGTAACGTTCGACCACGCAAACTCCACTCTTGAATTTGTGTGGTTCCTTTCTGCATAGAAGAGGGGAGGAAGGGGTATTGACTATTGCCAGCAATGTCGCGTTTGTTGTTGCCATGATCCCAGGTACGAATGTCATCAACATTGATTCAACTGTACTAAGTGCCAATTATACTTCCGACCTTTCACAAAATGACGATGGCTACCCATCGTGACCGGGAACTGACTAGATATTTTTTTACGTGACAGACGGAATTTATTTCTTGTAATATTTTGACACCATATTTTCAGATTACGCATTCACCGCGTACAACTCCGCCTGTCAGTATAGTATCGCTTGACTGGACCGCCTTGCGTCATGGCACTGGCCCGGTCTACGTTTAGCAGCAGATTAGTTGATTACTACGTAACATCGGCGATGTGCAAACACGGGCATCAATATGATACAATTACATTTTTTAAAGAAAATTAATACCTCTGTAACCACCGTATTTTTCTCATTTGAATGTAATGATGTTGGTATTTGTTTAAAGGGCGGTCGGTGGTCGTCGCGCAGCGCGTGTTCGAATTTCATATAAACAAACAATGCATTTTACACGCGTTGTGTACGTCGCTGTGAGTTCGAAATAAAACTGGGCGCAATATAGAGAATTATTGTTGAGATTTGTTGATTCCATTTGGTTGGACACGTCTTGGTTACTTAGAACTTAGTACCTTCGCGTCGCTTACCGTATTTAGTAGTGATGCATTCATTCTCACGCAGTGCACGTTTTGAAACATAAAAAGATATAAATAAGCAATGAGTTCAATTCTAAAGCAAATCCAACCGCTTCATCGCACATTTTTGTATCGTCAGTGCCCTGATCTCTTAATGTCAGATGTCAATCGCTAACTGTCGTCATTGGATAAGTAGCCAATCACACGTCGCCGTTAATGGTCACGTGGTTATGATAGTTTCCGAAGAGAAAACAACACGGCTCAGTTGACGTCCCTGTTCACTGTATGCATCACTAGTATAACATGTGTGTGTGACAGGTTGAATAGTCTACAAAGAGTTGTACTAATCTCGTACATATTTCACATGAATCTACATGCAAAACGGTATATAATTAAATGGCTATTTAGATACTTCAAATAATTTAAAATCTCTAGCTTCTGACCATGAATTTGACTACATATTTAAACAAGCATAAAATATTAACCTTTATTCAAATTAAGAAAGAAATGTTTAATGTCTGGTGCAACCGTGAAATAGCTTATAAAATCTTCGGATGAAATAAAACGCGAAAACAACGATCTCTGGTGTCTAGTACAGTAGTTGAGAAATTTCCTCTCATATAGGCCTCCGCGCCTCCTCATACTATTTCCTGTTACCTTATTCATCTCTGGATGCCTGGCAACGCTTTTCTACCTTGATATATATTAT